GCTCATTGGTCAGTTCTGGTCACCGTTCTGCTTGTGTGCAATACTAAGAAATAGGTATCTTGGTCTCTGCCTCCAGTCCCCAGCACAGAGCCTCTAAAACCCTTGGGATTTCCTGGATAATACGAGCATATTTTGTTCTAATGACATGACTTTTTTTTTTTTTTTTGTACCAGGATTGAACCCAGGGGTGCTTAACCACTGAGCCACATCCCCAGCCCCCACCTTTTTTTTTTTTGCATTTTATTTAGAGACAGGGTTTCACTGAGTTGCTGAGGGCCTCACTAAATTGCTGGGGCTGGCCTGTAATTTGCAATCCTGCTGCCTCAGCCTCCAGAGTCACTGGGATTACAGGCATGTGCCACTGTGCCCAGCATGATGTGATTTTGGATTGGCTCCTGGAAGGGGGGTGGACCGGCTCCCTCAGTCTCTCCAGGAGACATAAGTGTCCACAGCGCCACCTACTGACACTCTTTAATTGCCCGCTGGGACTGGGAAAGCATTATTGCAGTCTCACAGGTGTGGTCCCTCTCACCAAGACCCCTTCTAGGAACACACTGACTCACGTGGGTCACACACAGACATGAACATGTTTAGCTGTCACACAGCTGGGTGTCACACTTTGGGAGGACGCAGCAGGCTGGTCTCAGGAACACACGAACAGATTTGCAACACTCGGGTGGCAGGTCCAGATACCTGCACAGGTGTGCAGTGGCAACAGATGTGGAGTCACACGGACAAGTAATGACACTGCTGGGCACACAAGTCCTGGAAATCGTGTGTGACAGTGTGTAGGGTATTGCTGACCAGGGAACTCGACTGAGCCCCAGGGTCCGAGTTTAGCTGAGTCACACACAGACATGGTGGATCACCTTCATGGATGACCTTCAGTGTCCAGCCCTCCAGAAGTCTGGCTGATGTGAAGCCCCAAAGCCCTCACTGTGAATCACACTGTCAGACTGTTGGGGGGTCCAGGCCCCGGGGCAAACAAAGTCACTCTAATCAGGCAGGAGAATCCCCAAGCGTGGACACGGCCTCCCAGGAGCCGAGGGCCAAGGCCTGACCCTTTGGACAAGGTCCAGCCTCTGCTGCACACTCTCCTTCACAAGGTCACGGCAAGACTCCAATGTGTATGTGAGGTGCTTGTGGGGCTACGGGAGCCACCACTGCAAGGGGACAAGAGGCCACAATGCTGCTTGTGGTGCTCCACAGAGACTCAGGGTCAAATGGGCAAGAAAATGGGTTTTATGAAAGTCAGCTTTGAAGGATGAGCGAAGAAACTTTTTTTTTTTCCTTAAAATTTCCATCTTCAGAAAACTCATGAGCCAGGAAAGCTTTTTACAGGTAGGACTGAATGTGGTGGCGCCTGCCTGTGATCCCAGGGACTCTGGAGGCTGAGGCCGGAGGATTGCAAGTTAGAGGGCAGCCTTAGCAACTCAGTGAAATCCTGTTTCAAAATAAAAATAAAAAGGGCTGGAGATGTGGCTCAGGCAGGGATGCTTCTGATGGGATGCTGATGGGATCCATCCCTAATTCTTACAAATGAACGATTGAATGAATGGGACAGCAGAGTGGGACAAAAGGCAGGTGGATATGCAGATTTATTAGCCAGACAACCTGCCAGTCTCAGCTTTTTATTTCTGTCCTTCATTTCTGCCTTGTGACCAGCACGCGCCTGGGTCTGTGCTGGCTGAGCACCTAGCCTGGGCCAGACCAAACGTCAGCACTTGCAAACACTCATCTCCTCCTCACAGCACCCTTCTAGGTGGATACTACTGGCATCATTGGACAGCAGAAGGGACTTAGAAAGGGGGTGCCCACTAGGTCAAGGTCACTCTGGATCCAGTGGTCTTCAGAGACTATGATCAGTTGCCATCTGCACAGAAACTAATCATGACTTGATCTCTCTGCCCTGAAGAGGGTGGTGGTGACTTCATTAACTCCCTACCTGACTCTGCCCCTGGGGCTCTCTCTGACTGCCCCCTACCAAGTCCCATCAGCCCCTCGGCCTGCTCCCTCTCCTCCTGCCCACTGCGCCACGCTGGGGCCCTTCTGGACCCCCCTTGCAGGTGCAGCCTCAGTGCCCAATGCTTGCCAAATACTCGGAAGGGTCTGAGATTTTACTAACTTGCAAAGAAAAAGTCTGCTGCGGTGTCCAGATGCTGGAACACAGGACTCTCTTGGGTCCAAGCTTCATTACTCACGGCAGGCAGAGCAGCGCCGAGCTTCAGGTTTTGTTCAGACTCTGACCACAAATCCCACGGAGTCAGAGACCAGAGCAGCACAGGCAGCTTCTGTGCAGCCGCAGTTTGCGCCACCGGCAAGGAACCCGAGCCCAGAATCCTTAATCCTCGATGGGCTACTTGCAAACCGGCCCAGCCTGTGTCCCTGATGGAGCTATGTCTTCATTATCCGGGGCTGCAAACGGAGCTGCCCTAGAGAGACATTTATTTATTCCCCGCAACAGCAGACAAGGCTGCTGTAAGAGAGATGTTATCTTTATTACCCAGGACGTAAGAAACCAGATAGGAGACGGACAGAATCTGGCAAGGCTTCCCGCTCTGGGCAAACATCCTTGAAAAGACGGCCCAGGGGCGGGGCACAGAAGACCTCAGAGAACCGTCCGGGCTGCCTGGCTGCCTTGCGCCGGCACCTCCTCAGCAGTCCCGGTCAAACACTGTCTACCACATCCCGCCGAACCAGGGTTCCCGGGCCACCTCCCGACCTTGGGTGGGCAGCCCATTGGGGAACCTATAATAAGGGCGGGGCTCAGAAGCCGGGGGATCTGGGTTTGGGAGGGGCTCTGGGTGGGAACGCTTAGGGGGCCCGCTTCTGGAGAGGGCGGGGCTGGAGCCCTGGTGGGCTGAGTTCCAGATGTGTGGGGCTTGCTGCTCCTGATGTGAGAGAGGCAGGGCTGGGACCTTGGCCCAGGGTCTGGGGAGAGGGTGATGGGACCACCCTGGCGCCTCAGATCTCCAAAGGCATGGAGGACCAAGGCGGCCCATTCTCAGGAGCTCCTCACTGGAGGGCAGCACCTGGGCGTGCAATCTGCGCATGCGCGCTGCCCTCTTCCAAAGGGTTTTGGGCCGAGGGAGGAGGGGCCTGCACTTAAGGTTTCTTCCAGTTCCTCTGTCTTCCCCGGGTCTTCCACGTCTCTTGCACTGTGCCCAAATCAGAATTATCTCAGCCAAATCTTTTGAACAAAGACCAGTCAGGGCCAGGTGTGGTGGTGCACTCCTGTAATTCCAGCGACTCAGGAGGCTGAGGCAGGAGGATCTCAAATTCAAGACCAGTCTCAGCAACCTAGTGAGGCCCTAAGCAACCTAGAGATCCTGTCTCAAAAAATTAAAAAAATCACCAAATTCTGGGGATGTGGCTCAATGGTTAAGTGCACCTGGATTCAATCCCTGGTACCAAGCAGGTGGGGGGAAAGACTAGCCGGAGCTGTCTGTGGACCCCCGGGTGCACACACAGGCCTGGAGGGCAGAGGCAGGAACCCCTGTGCTGTCCCGCTGAGCCAGAGGTGTGGGAGGGGTGTGGGCAGGTTTTGGAGTCAGTACTTAGCCATGCTTGGTTTTCTTTGGCCACATGATGTGCTGGGGTCAGATTTGAGGCTGGAGCTTGAAGATCAGCGAGAGTGGAGGGAAGGGTTGGAGTTGGCTGTGCTTTTGTGGAGTTGGGGACTGGGGATGTCTGGTTGGCTGGGGATGGCCTGGGTGGAAATGGGATTATTCTGAGGTTGTATGGGAACTGTGTGGGGATTGGCTCAGGGTGGAGAGTGGCAGCCACAGACATTGGCTTGTGTGGGATGTGAGGATGGACATGAGTTTGGAGTCATTTCAAATGCGGGGAGCCATAGCAGTTCGGTTGAGTTAGGCAAGGTTGGGTTGGTGTGTGTGATGCAGGTGGATTGGGTTGTGTTAAACAGCCCGGGTTCAGTTTGGTTGAGGTTTGGATGGGAATTTGGAGATGCTTGGGAACAGTAGATCCAGGAGGACCTAACTCAAGCAGAGGGGGACTTCCTCTCCCAGGATGATTCCAGGGCACCCTGATCTATGTGTGCGGGGGTGAGGCCCTGGTTGAGCACTTCCCTCTATCCCTGCCTTTAGATCTTCAATTGTGATTATCTGAGTCCCTCTCCTGTCACCCTCACAGCACTTGGAATTTACTTGTCCCTCACTTAGGAAAGAGGGAAGATTTTATCAAGTTCTGCGAC